AGATGTTCGAAGTCGATGTCTGGGCATACAATGTTATCGATGTGCATACGTGACAAAGCGTCTGCCACTTCATTGTTTTTACCCTTTATGTGTCGCAGATCGGAGGTGAACTGGGATATAAACTCGAGATGTCGTAGTTCGCGCGGAGAGTAGTTATCCTGTTTTACTGGTAAGGCTTTCGTTAGAGCTTTGTGGTCTGTAAAGACACCGTAAAAGGTGTACCTTCTAGCATATGTCGAAAGTGCTTGATTGGTAAATAAACAGCTAATAACTCTCTACCAAAGGTGCTATATCGACATTGAGTAGGGTTCAGTCGTTTCGAAAAGAATACAAGGGGTTGCCATTCGCCATGCGCCTGCTGTTGTAAAACTGCCCCAATGGCAACATCTGAAGCATCTGTCATGAGAGACAGGGGGCGTCATTTTGGCGTCTGACTAAGAGCGTCTTGTCATTTAACGATTGTTTAACATCTTCGAATGCTTTGACAGCTTCTGCAGGCAAATGGAATGAACGACTATGTCCACGTAAGCAGTCGGTCAACGGTTGCAACACCAGCACAGTTTGGGATAAAACACCGGTAAAAATTGACTAGACCCAAAAATCGCCGTAATTTCTTAAAAGAATCTGGTAATGGATAGTATTTGATAGCTTGTACATCGTCGGGGACTGGTCTAATTCCTTGATTGTCAATCAAGTGACCGAGGAATTTCAGTGATTTCTTACCAAATTCGCATTTATCTAAATTGATAGTCATGCAGTATTTGTGAAGACTTTCAAACACCGTCTTCACGTGTTTCACATGCTCGGTTTCGTCTGCACTTGCAATTAGTAAGTCGTCAATGTATAATAAAACGCAATTTCTTTTGTTGTGAAACTAGGGTTTTATTATACAAAGTATGTGTCCGACCTATCTTAGAATACTGCCCGTTTATTCTTAGGGGACTCAGACAAAATGACAAGCTTAAATTAGAGGGAGTGCAACGGCAGTTTACCTCAAGAACTCTTGGTTTAGAAAGTGGTCTGGAATACCATGAGCGATGCGAAAGACTAAGATTAGAACCCCTCTGGAAAAGACGCCTTAAGCTAAACCTTATCTTTTACTATAAGCTAACTAATCTTCTCTTGCATTCCTCCGAGCCAATAACTAAACCTACCGCTGTCACCAGTTACAATCTTAGAAATCATCACAACCTTGCTACTATGGAGCACTGTCAGACTTACATGCGGTACAACTTCTTCTTAAATAAGTTTTCAGTCATTTGGAATAGACTACCAGCTAATGTGCGCGATGCAAACACACTTCCAGTGTTCATCTCCTCATGCACTTTTGTGCCTGACTCTTAAACCTTCTTTTTCACCATACATAGATATTTTAAGTTCTTTAAACGTGTAGTTACAACAAACTACAATTGTAAATTTTAATATTATTGGAACTAGATAATAAACATTTCTACACAGGACAGTAATATTAGTTTACACATAATATAAAAGTTAGCATAACGGGACTAGTTAGTTTGTGTACCAAAATAACCACAGTTACTAAACAGAATATATATGTATATATTTATTAATCACTCCTTAAGGACTCCTCTTGCTTTCTTTTGTGTTGCTGTTGTTTGTCTTCTTTTTTCTCTCACCATTTCAGCTTCCATTTGACTTTTTGAATGAGAATGAATAATGTGGATATTTGACCATTTACAATGACAAATGATCTGCAAACATTATTGGTCCCGTATCTTTCAGTTGCCTGGTTAATAACGAATTAACTTTCTCCACGACGCAACCTGGATTACATTTGTGGAATATACTCTTATACCAATGGAAAAGTATCTATTTGTAATACAACGTCATGATTGTAGCTTATAACATAACTGATCGTATCTGTAAGATAGCTTTCTTATTACCCAATTTGGATATAAATCAAATCAAAAATAAGATTCGGATTTGTACACACCCAAGTTATATTGAGGAATTACTTCAAGCTTTATTTTTTCCCAAGTATTTTTAATCCATCCAAAACTTACTTGAGTTTTTTTGTTAATGCGAAGTTAATATTCCTATATTTCATGACGTGCTCCATTGAATGACTGGTTATCATATTGTTCCCACAGACCTAAAACAAAAACGCCAGCAACCATGTACCTTAACCATAAACCGAATTTATGAAATTTAAATAATGCTTACCCATGCCTGTATATTTGGTGTGTCCTACACAAGTAGGAAAGAATGTGTATTTTATTAAAACATTATTATTAATTATGATTGCTAATCGTATATGTAATTTATCATATTGATGATGCCTGTAAACTGGCGTCTCTCATGTACAAAATGAGAATATACTATTATTATTATAATGTATATTCTCATATAAACATATAAATTTGCATGAAAATGCATGCCATTTTTACAGGCACGATCAAGTATGATATAATATCAAGTCGTAGATTGTCTACAAGTTAATAATGTAGACAATGCGTAGACGAAGGGCAGGCCGCGGAGTAGTTGATCGATGAGACGTTGAAATGTCTGAGCGGCGTTTATCAGCCCGCAGGGCATGCGTACGAATTCGATAAGCCGAATGGCGTGGTGATAGCAGTTTTTGGAACGTCATCCGGGCGGATGGGAATATGATGGTTCGCCCTGACAAGATCGATTTTGGAGAAAATTTTAACCTCTGGCAAGTTGCTGGCGAAATCGTGAATATGCGGTATGGGGTATCGATCAGGTACCGTTTGCTTGTTTAAGGCTCGATAATCCCCACACGGCCGTATCTCATCAGAAGACTTTTTGGGTACCATGTGCAGCGGTGAAGACCAAGAGCTGTTGGATGGTCGAATAATGCCGAGCTCTAACATTTTATCGAACTCTGTTTTTGCGATTTTAAGTCGATGTGGGTCATGGCGTCGGGACGTGCAAAAACTGGTGGTCCAGTGGTTTTAATGTGATGAATCACTTGATGCCTTACTTTTGTTGCTCGGAAAGAGGGTTGTAGAAGGTCAGGGAACTGATTTACTAAGTCAGTATATGGAGATGCTGGTGTGCGTGTGACCATCAAGTTCAACAATGATGCATGGCTAATCGTACCAGCGATGTACTTTTTATTGAGCGAGTCTATAAGCTTAGGGCTTACCGGATCAACTAGCAGTTTGTGTTGCTGTAGAAAATCTATACCAAGGATTGGGGATGGAACGTCTGTGATGATGAAAGACCAAGTGTAGGTATTCTGCAGACCAAAATCTAAAGTCATTCGTTTACTTCCATATGTAACAATATTAGACTTATTAACGGCTTGGAGCGTAACTGCAGGGTCAGGATGCTGACGTTCCTGCGTAGACGGAGGGAGAACACTAACCTCTGCTCCCGTGTCGACTAAGAATGTAGTACCGGGATTTCTATCTGTTACATAAAACAAACGACTGCTGGATTGTAGATTGCCAACAGTAGAAGTTTTCATACATGACGATATATCTTTTGGTTTAGCCTGAAAGTTGCAAGGTGAACGACACCGTCGCGCATTGCTTCCGTAACTACGGTGGTACCAGCAAATAGTATCGCGATGTTGTGACGTGCTACGTGACCGAGAAAGACGTCGACGAGACTAGCTTCTAGAACGGCTTGGTAGTATGTGTGTGGTCAGTGCTGCTAACTGACTCAGTAAGGTGTCGACTTTGTGTTCTAGAGTCTGTATCCTATCGTGGGTGTCTGGTATTCTGCTAAAGGAAGCAAAAGATTGAGGTAATGACCACCCCTACATGCGATCCGCGAATTTGGGGAGCTTTTCTATGTCGATATTGTCGTCTCCGAAACCAAGAACCTGCTGAATGTTTGCAGGGAGTCGTCGCTGCCAAATTTGCTAAAAGAGACAGTTATCGATTTCCCTTCCTGCTAATAAGCTTTGCATATGCCTCATGAGCTGCGATGGGGTTTTATCACCTAACTCTACATTGCTTAACAAACGATCGAGTGCTTGCGTATCTGAAAGCGAATTGCATCGAAGTACCTCTTCCTTCAACTTGTCGTAAGGAGCGTCTGTGCTGGGTTGAACTATGTGTTGTCGAACCTGTTCGGCGATTTCGTCTGGTAGTACTGTACTCAAAATGCTGAATTTAGCCGTCTGTAATGTCAGCTTATTGGCACTGAAATAATGTTCCAGTCGTGCAAACCAAAGATGGGGGTCTCTGGGCTTAAAAACTGGTACAGTAAGAGAAATGGTATTAACAGATCCTAGCTGCAAGTTATTAGAGGTATTGGAAGACATGTTACAATTCGTAGAAAAATGGTTTAAGAGTAACAAAATAGCAAAAATTATGCACACCAAGAATATGGCAAAACAGAAAAACATGCAATGCAGATGCTTACCACAGATTACCGCAAGTTGTGTGATGATAAAGCACAAGAATGAGTTCGGAATGTCTATTATATGGATATATATAGATCCGATAAAGTTAGGTTATAAATAATCCAGCAAGTGTAATGATGCGTCGTGGTGAACAAGTTGTCGTCGGGGTCAACAAGTTATCGTCGCGGTGAACAAGTTATCGTCCAGGTGAAAAAGTTGTCGTCGCGGTGAACAATTTGTCGTCGGGCTCACCAATTTGTTGCGTGCATTATTTGACTAAACTTCCGTACACGTATATTCTAGTACTTCTTCACTTTTATTAATGTGCAGAGACGCTGTGACTACTCGACGCTCACAACGTAAATCAAAAGGCACTTGCGAAGAGTACGATTGTGTATTATAGCAGTAGTCAAATTTCGAAATTGTATCAAGGTGATGTTCAACAGTAAATTGACAAATGTTTGAGAAGTACATATAAAATCGGTCTGCGTACACATATAATACAAGTATACAAATTAGATTAAAAAACATGTTTACAGTTGGTATAGGGGTACTACAAGGTAATGAAGTGGGGAACCAAATTTAAACGATTTTTGCTGCAGCAGTTAAGAGATATAGCCTATTGAATGAGCTAAATTAAAGCTTTTTACTAGTGCTAAGTCCGACTGCGTCTCAAAAAAGGGAATGGAGCATTTCGAATTGTGATAAGGTCATTTGTTTTTGTTCTTCAATTGGTAATATAGTCATAGGAAGACTCCGCGCTTAGCTTAAAACTAGGATGTCCAGAAGCTCTTCTGAAGAAAGAAACAAAACACAAAAATGTCCATTCGAGGTTTACAGATCTGAAGGCGATGCATTTCTTATCAAGAAAATGTATTCGAAGGCTATAATGGCGTACAACCAGGTAATCAAATGCGTTTTAATAAAGTATTTTAAGGCGTTGGATAAGAAGGAAAATGATAGACACTGCCTTTTACGGAGAGCTTCATGTTATTTGGCAACCGGAAATATCAGCATGGCCCTATGTGACACGGATACGGCACTTTCAGAAGACCCAAACTATTATAAAGTTGATAAAAATTTTTACCAAGCAAATATATTTTTAGGCTCTTTATATTAAAGCTCAGATACTCTACAACAAAGGTGATTTTGAACATGCGCTGATGTTCTTTCATCGTGGACAGCAGCAGAGACCGGAATTACAGATGTTTAGACTAGGTATCCAGAAATGTGAGGAGGCTGTTGAAAATTCCTTGAAAGGTGAGATTATTCAAACATTTCTTGTGTCTTCTCTATTTTACCTTAGACACAAGATTATGCTTTGCAGTAATAAAGAACTCCAGACCTTTGCTTTTATGTCGTTATGTGTCCGCGGTACACGGTGTACCGGTTATATATATATATCAATTCATCACCATACTGACGTTATTTACTCTGAATTTTAAAGCACGCAAAATCAGTGTCTTTCTGGATTATGAAGTACACTAACAATCTACTGTAACGCTTTCATCGTGAAATCAGCTTGCAATATTCAATGAAGGCACGTTCCATAGAAGTGTTTTTATAAAGAGCCTTCGCAGGAGGCAAAAGTCGATTAAGCAGTGTCAAAACCAAGACCACTTATTATGGGAATATTAACAGTGGCAAAGTAGAAGAATGGCAGTAAGATATCAGACTACCAGTACGTCTACCAGGCTGCCATCTAACTGAAAGAAAATGCTAGAATATGTGCATCTCAACAGGTGTCTGTAGTTATCAGATGACTTTTACATAATATATACCACAACGTTTCATGCTTTGAGACAGGCAGCGCAAGACGTTTTTTGGGCAAATCTCCAATGAGCTGCGATTTGACAGAAAATCAGTTCTGTGCTTCAATCAAGCACAACAAAAAGATAACAGCTTTCATACTGTAGGCATTTGGGAATAGCCCGCCGCGTCGATTCTAGATACTTAACGTCTCATAGGGTCATCAGCCACACCTCTGTGAATAAATCTAGGCCAGCTTCTAATAACACTCGTACAAGGTGCTTTAACATTCATATTTTATTAGGTATCGCATCTGACATGATGAAATCGAGTTCCGACTCGCATTTTTCAGTGAAGATACAGTACCCATTGGCCTCTGCCTAAAATCTGGCGCTTGTGACGAAGGTTAGATATTGATTTACATATTTCAGACTGAGTATTAATACGCTATTCGGAAGTTTATCCTCATAACATTTACATTAAAGCTATAGGGTGTACGTGAATTTCAGTTCTTTGACCATGGCCACCGTCTCAGTATTTTCAGCGTTTAGCAGCATTCCTAAAGGAACAATATAAAAGTCACACATACGGTCACAGAAAGATTAGTCAGTCAGGTAAGAATAATACAAGTTCCCAGTGTATCAGATGGGGGGATATGCGCTATGCGCCTCCGGCAGAATATGAAATCAGTCATCAAAAGTTATTGACCGCTTGTCAGCATTGTGTAGGGAAGCGCAGAAATTTTATATTTTACAGGCCATCGACAACGTGGCTGAAAAAATTATTACCAGCTCTTTTCATTTCTTTTTCACTTGGCGACCGTTATGCTATATTACTAGATCAAATATTAACACTGTTTGTTTATCCTATTTCGGTCGTTAAGTGCTTCTGAAATTTGTGAAATCTTGGGTGACTCCAGTTTATTTGGCTTTGCAAATACCTATACAATACATACACAGCAACAGCACTTATTTGAGAGAGACTAATCTTTCTGATCCAGATAACTTGTAGTTAAGAAGAGTAGTAAGGTTGGATTCAATGTTTATGTAATCTTGGATTGACTGATGCCATTGATGTTCGCTGATGACACATTTAAAACTAAGAAGGGAATAGCTGCTCACAGTCGTTTAATTCTTATCGCTCTTAAGAGGAACGGACGACAGATTCACACCAAAAACGTTAGATAAACTTCCCCGACTTAATAGTCTTGTAGATGTATCGTGAGAAAGTTTTATGCACGCCATTTGTAAGGTGATTTTTGAGCCAGGTGCTTATTATTCTCATCTATAAAATTCTTTTTACTTATTTGTCGTTTTCAGATCACAAAAAAGTCAAAATTGCTAGTGGAGGGGCGAAAGGCTTTGCGAAACAAATGGAGGATGTAAGTTTTGCACCATACAACCGGTCAAAAATTAACTACTGAGAATAAACCTCTTAAATATTTCATTTAAAATTATCGTATGATATGAGAGGTGTATGTGTTTAAATTTGGAAAGTATCTACACTGACAATCATAATACTCGGTTTCTGAACTGGATTTATCTAACGAAGGATTTTAGCTCATTTTAAGGAAGTTTAAAGTCACTGTTGTTGAATGTTTTCTTAATTCAAAATGCAAATTAAGTTTTTTTACTTTCATTATCTCAGTACGTTCAGTGTATTAGCTTCCAGTAGGTTTCCTGATGAATTTTAAATGTCTGAATACTTACTCGGACAAAACTAGAGTGCTTATTAGTCACATATAAATACCAGATTTGAGATCCTAGTGACATGATTCAAGTCAGCAACTGAAAGCTGATGTTTGAACCAGATAAAGACCTCTGGTGCACATAAAGTTCGTTGAAAATTTTCTAAGTAGAAGGGATTTGTGACCAGAGACAGTCATTTATTGGCAGTTGTGAGTAATCATGAATAAAGTTACTAGAAAAGCGCACAGGTCGAAATTACAATGAGAATGCCCCCAGACTACTTAGAAAGTGCATATTTGAATAAATTATAGTAGCATACCTACAGAAATGAAAATCTGATTCATGAACACTAAGGGTTATTAAGACAGAATAGCACAAAAACTGCATGTGTTAAACGACTACTGCTGTTTAGGTAACTGGTCGCGAAAAGACACAGATAAACTTGTGGTCCCACCTCTGACAAGGGTAGGTAATCTAAAAGCTACTGTCAAAAAGGAAACCAGTCTTATCTGATATAGGTGACCAATCAGATGACATCTATGGTGAGGAATTCAAATAATGTAAGATTTCAGTCGTCGTAATTTTTGTCTTTCTAATGAAATGTTATAATACCATATTAGATTACTTAGGCTGGAGTGAATGAATAGAACTATTATAGAATGGATATTTTCTTAAGGCAAACTCTATTACTTCTGATTGAATTGATAATTGAAATGTGAAAATTTTCTCAAAATTTTTATTTCTACAGGAAGAAAAAGCCCAAGTAATGTATTAATACTTAGATTTTGTATAAATACTTTAACTAGTTTTATTATAATTTTAATAGTGCTAGTCTGTTGTGTCTGCATGTGGTGTGAGTTTGTACAGTGCACGTTTCATATGAATTTGTGTTTGTGTTATTCCTAATGACACTAGAATCCTACTTACACAGAAGCTAATTGCATGACGTGATCCTAAGGAAAATATTTTCTTTGGAGCATTAAACCGTCCGCTAAATATTTTGCTTCAAGTCTAAGGTTCTGCATATAGATTTCGCATGAACAGATTATGCATATTCTTCGGAAAATCATTAAATCCAAACCACCCTCTCCCTGCAATTAAATATAGTACTGATACTTGAAAATATATAACTGATGAATGATATTGCTTATAAGAAAATATAAACTTACCAAAGTGACTGTTGTTGGATTATTCATTCAGAGTTGCGTGATTTAAAAACTTCGTTTACCAATATTAATCTTGCGATGGTTCAGCATACAACGGCAGAAGTGAGTGATATTGAAAAATGAAATCTACAGATAATATAGCCGTAACTAGCAATTGTTAAGATATTTAAAGATATTTAATATAATGCGGTTTTGATGATATTAGATAGTTGGAGACGATCGGTAGGAAGCCTTGGACCTAGGTTTCGTGCTATTTGGCGTTCATCAGCAAGGCGTATCTGCGTATCTGATGGCGAGCTACCTAGAATGGTGGCCTCATTGCAAAACCTGACCGATAGAATTCAGTGTGCACCAAACAAAGAACTAGACACGTCACACTAGTTACTAGTGTTCAATCAAAATTAGGCTGTTTTATAGGTCGTACATTCTTCTGTTTATGTCTTTAGGCTCGATGCCCGCGTCAGGCTGGTAGAACATAATAATATAAATATACTAAATTTTGGAGAAGGACCAGAGTTTTCTCACTGATAGATAAAGTATACGTACTACCTATTTAGGGCGAAATGCGCATCCTGGATTCCAATGCTAGTCACCATCCACCAGTTATAATTACTATCAATGACATATCCTAAGTTTCGGAAAGCCCATCAGTGTAGTCTGCCAGATAATCATAACATTAATATTTGAATCAGGGAATTATGGTCTTCAGTGTTGTCAAGTACATTTTTCGCAGGCTAAATTAACTTTTCCATCATTTCTTTTTGAAATCTTACGACTTCAGCTTAAAAATTCCATCATATTTATTACTAGAGTTTATGATTTATATGGATAGTAATGGATTTCAATGTATATTTTAGTAGTTTGCAATTTTTACGCGTAGATTTACACGCAGCTGTTGATTTCTTTCTTTCTTAATATTATTTACTTTCTATTTAATTCCTTTGTGTTCAGACTGGAATATAAGGCTCCAGGATTGAGCTTTGGAGTCTTAGTAGTAGTGATATTGTTAGCCATCATGCTCAACCTTCCATCTTTACAGGGCTTACAACCGACTATAAGAGATCAAGTAGTGCGTCCACCAAAGATCAAACTTTGAACCACGTGAGAGGTTGGCGACTATTCTACCACTGAATCATCACCGACATACAAGCCGCCTGCTGTGAGTGGGATTCAGACCCACACGAAGATAAACATCAGGGGATATTAATTATTTACTGAAACTATTTTGTCTAATTACAATAACAGTTATAAGTGTGACAAAATGTACTCATTATTTTCCTTTGCAGTAAGGTATTATTATATTCATAAGTACTTCAGATGGGTAAGTAATCTATTCTCCACTGTATTGAAATTCTGATGTAAGTCTATCTAAAAATAGATTTCACCATTCAGTTTAGTTCTGTTCTCACCAAACAGCACACAAATCGCAATTTCTTAAAATTTAATTGCACAAGTCATAATAGAGACGAATTTCTCCCACTTTTAACAATTTTCAGAAAGCAAAATTACGCCAAATGGGTCAAAAGTCAAAGAGAGTAACAGGTGATACTGATACTTCAGATGGAAATCAAAATAACCAGAGTATCCCCACTAGTTTAATTCCAAGAAATATGTCAAAAATTATGTTTGGTCCACTTTATACAGATCATGAATATTTAGAGGAATTATTAAGGCAAGAAAGTAAGTAATATTATAAAATTAATTCATTGTTAGTGTATTGTTAATGTTATCGTTTCATATTCTTTCAATAACGGATATATATATATATATATATATTTCAGTATTTGGAATGTGAACACTTGAAATACTTTACACTGAACCAATATATGATACTTCAATTAGTTTATAGACTCAAAGTTTTATAACTAAGCCTTTTCCATATTTCTAAATTTCGATTACTAAAAAGCTAAGCAACTCGAAATACATGCATTCTAGTATATTCTTCTGACTTCCAAATTAACTAGCGTTTAGAGAGTAAATCAATAATATCTTCAGACAATCTGGATATACTCGTAACAGCAGAAGACAAGAGAATTGGCAAGGGAATGTTTATTTAGAATTTGATATCGCTATATACTAAAAATGTGTACACCTCATCTTCAAATCATCATTTGAACAGATCTTCCATGTTGTTCGTCGGTGGTACAGTGGTTAGGACTCTCGCTGACCATATATATGGTCCGAGGTTCGATCCCCTGCTGACGCACACCTGATATCTATGGTCGGCCTGCAAAATTTGGGCTACCGATATCACATGCTGAAAATTCCATACCTGTACCAAAAATACAGTGTAGAATCAAGCTATAAATAAAAAAATTCTACTTTTGTCCTTCATATTGTGTTTCTTTGTGTTGCTTTCATGTCTCCCATGTTTCTCTGCAACACTGAACTATTTGCTTTCTCGGACGTCATACCTATCTCCCAGCTATCTGGTGCTGTTATGCCTATGAATGTCTTTTTATATACTACTGATAAATCCTATTAGTAGTACACGCCAATTACTAACTGGGATACCTTAAATCATTTCATGACGGAAATGAATTCCACAATGGTAAAGAAAAGACACCACACTCAAGTGATCTTGAGCCAGCCAGTCATATTTTTCTAGTTACAAAGGGGGATTTACAGTAATAAAAATATATTTAAGTTTAGTGAACTGGCAGAAGTTAGAATTCAAGGACCATTGGATCGGGTCCCAGTGGCTCAATGGTCTACGAGCTCGCCTTGTAACCAGAAGGTCCTGGGTTCGAATCCCGGTGGGTGCGTACTGCTGAGGAGTCCCAAACTAGGACGAAACAGCTGTCCAGTACTCCCAGGTTTTCCAGTGGTTCTCTAACTGATGTCAGCTCATGATTAAATCCTCCATGCAATATATTTAAGTGTTGGTTTGTAGAGATTTGATTGGTTACAGGATTTCATCATGAGTTGACATTAGTTAGAGAACCATTGGAAAACCTGAGAGTACTGGACAGCTGTTTCGTCCTAGCTTGGCACTGTTCAGCAGTACGTGCCCACCGGGATTCGAACCCAGGACCTTCTGCTTACAAGGCGAGATCGTATACCATTAAGCCACTCAGACCCGATCCAATGGCCAGCCCATGAATTCTAACTTCTGCCAATTCACGACATAGCGTGACCCCTAGCCAAAGTCTTCGGCGAGTATTTGTCCTCACACCCGACCTGCTGCACCCTACTGGTAACGACTTCTCACTAGAACTCCCGGTAACTATCTACCTAAATAGGGCAAGTCGCTAGTGACTGGGTTCGAACCACGGTGGGTGCGTGCTGATGAAAATTCCCAAACTAGGACGAAACAACTGTCCATATATTAGGCTTCAAAGAGTTCACATTCATTCACTTATAACAGTAGATGAAGATTACACTACATCATGGATAAACCAATGTTTGAAACACTGTGCCACTGTCTTTTAATAACAAGAAGAGAATCAACCTAAAACAGTTCAGTTTCTTTTCAATTAAAGCCTATAAGAACAGCTGGGGTTTATAAATCTAGGATTTATCAGACAAGGATGTGAGACAGTGATAAATGGTTATTCAATGCTTAAAATTCAAACTGACTAAAGTATTTATTAACTACATGGAGTACACGGAACAGGTATTTCCAAAAGATATAGAAATATCAACAAGATTAAATAAAAGGACCAACTTGAAATTATTCAGTGGATGGTGAACAGTATTGGAATTAAGGATATCCCCTTTCGCACTATTTGGGACTTGTCTTCTGGATGTACCTGTATTCCCATTAGATGATGGTGTTCGAGCTGAGACTCAAATCTAGTTTTCATAGTTCCCAACACCAAAACATTATCCATCAGACCATTCAGGGGTGTATAGAATTTTACTGCTCAAAAAAATACACTGAAGCGAATTCCTTTTAAACAAGAAGAGGTCAAAGAAAAATCAAAATACTCAAGTATATGTCTTATTCTTAATAAATTTACTACTGGTAATTTTCAGTAGAATGTTAAAGGCAGAAGAATATCACGAATTCCCATCCTCTGCTTGCCTTATTTCCCTCAGTATATTTTTACCATTTTTTTTTACTTCACGACATTAATCTTGAGAAGAATAACATATGTATGCTAAAAGACAATCAACTACTTTCTTTCCTCTCAACAAAATATGACAAAAAATAATCCTTTCAATTATTTATCTTATCTAAATCTTCAGTAATGAAAAAACTTCGTTTGTTCTTAAGGAATCTATTTACGAGTTTGACCACAGATTGTTATCAGTTAGAGAACCATTGAAAACCAGCACCGGAGTACTGGATAGCTGGTTTCGAACCCCAGTGGGTGGGTACTGTCGATGATTCCCAAACTAGGATTAAACATTGATATAAGAACAAAACTTGTGCACTGTGGTAGAGTGTAATTCCATTATGGGTAAATTTTTGTTTTGATAAAGTCTCACAGTGTTATACAGTAGTGTTTACTGATGACGTTTCGAGCACAATTTACTGCCTCTCATAATCATATCAAGGTAATCACACGACTTCCTAAATTCATTTATATAGTTCCATTGTTTTTCACTTGATTTGATTGGTAACAGTATTTCCATATTTCAGGTAGTCAGATTGTCAGAGCATAAGAATTTAGCTAAGGTAAGAATGGTTGACCCCGAGAAGATAAGTAATTTAGAAAAAAGCTCAGCAATTGCACTACATGCGCTAACACACAACCACACAATAGGGTGGGAGAGGGTTAAAATTCTAAAAAGTAATCTAGGTAGGTGGAGAGAGAGGTTGATTACTGAATCCTTGTTCATCGAGTCTACACCCAACACATGCAATAGGAATGACTCGTCACTCATACCTGAAATATGGAAAATACTGTTACCAATCAAATCAAGTGAAAAACAATGGAACTATATAAATGAATTTAGGAAGTCGTGTGATTACCTTGATATGATTATGAGCAATCAATTGTGCTCGAAACATCATCAGTAAACATTACTGTATAGGATGAAACAGCAGCTATACAGTACCCCCTGGTTCTCAATAGTTCTCTAACTGATATCAATCCGTGGTCAAACTCAAAGAAACAAATCTAATCCTTGCAAACCAACTCTTGAAAACTATTTAAAAGAAATAAATAACCTTAGAGATGAGGAGTAAGCACTTTCATATTGTTATTAGTGATACTTATTTTATTATCTCTTAATAATGCAGTTTATAATGGTAACAATATTAACTTCATGAAATACTGAATACACAGAAATAAGTAAGTGTACATAAAATAGGTAGCGCAATTTATTACGACTGTTGGAATATGAATAATTTAAGTAGCAATATTAAGAAATATCGCTGTTTTAAATCCTATGCCTTAGTCTTTCATAATGAATATGATTCAATAAAAAAATCCAGATAGAATATCATACGTTATTCCCCGGCATTTTAAATCGAATCAAGAGTTTAGCAATTATGTCCTACTCTCATCAGTATCATACTTTAATTTCTGCTTAGATCTCCACTGTCCAGTGGGAAATTACGACTGACAAGTAGTCTACCTGGACGAGCAGTTAAAAAGCTGAATAAACAGTGATTTTCAATAATTGTTTTCTTATTCTTTCACGTTCCCAGTGAACACAGGGCTTCAAGCCTCCAGCTTGAAGTTTCTTTAGCAGTGTTTGTTTTACAGGATGGGGTTGCTAGCCTCATGCCCAACCTTTCCTCTTTACCAGCCCTATTACTGGCTTAGCGAGGTAAAGGAGCAGGTCAGCCGGAAATCGAACCCTAGACCATTTGCACGGTCGACGAGCGCCCTAACCGCTGTGCCACCGACGCACAATAGTAATAATAACTCTAGCTTCATTCCAGAAGACATGTTAACGCATATACAGAATTTTCAGCGTATTTAAATTGCAAAATATCTCCCCTTCCTACGGGATCTCTAAGTAAAATGGTATTCGGAAGTATGTCATGTAACGCTGTGTTGTTCCATCTAAAGCAATATCCAAATGTCTTCAATGATTTTTCCTCATTTCGGTTGATAAGTACCCCTCATTACAGTAAACTAAAACTGTGTGTGAGTTTAATGCGGCGATCCAAAACCACACAGTTAGATGATTAAAACAATAAGAAATGCAGATGTGTTTATACATTATACCGAGTGGAAATTAAGGTAGCGCAGTGATTTAGACATGCCTTCAGAGTTTGTATGTATTAAACAGACTTAATGGGATCTTATTTTCAATCAGTAAATCACTTGAATGAATTCTATACGTGATTTATTCACGGTACTTATCAGTGTACCAATATTATTGAATAGATCTTATTCAGTAGTCGGTGGCACAGTGATTAGGACGCTCGCCGACTATGCACATGGTCCGGCTTTCGATCTCCAGCCAACGAACTCCTTTACCTCGCTAAGCCAGTAATAGAACCGGCAAACATAGAAGGTTGGTTATGAGGCTAACAACCTCATCCTGTGAAAATAAACACTACTACAGAAACTTCAAGCCTCTAGCTTGAAGCCATATGTTCCACTGGGAACGTCTAATATCAACCATAGTGACTTAACTTTACATTAGTTCAACTAACAGGTATTTGATGGAAGTCATTTATAATTTCTAAAAGTCAAACTGAGCATCATTCTATAAGTGATTTATATAAGTAAGCAGATATATAACACAACAATATAATATTGAAGATAAAATCTGTTCAAGAACTCAGAATATTCTCAAATGTTGGTTTTCAAAGATTTAATTGACCACGAAATGACTTCAATTATAGAACCTTTGAAAACTAGGGACTATTGGACATCTGTAGTGCCTTCATCAGAGCACACTCACTGATCACCAACTCTTGAAAATTAATCTAGCACTTATCAATGACTGAATACTGCATACAGTTGCCTGAAGTTCTAGTGGAAATTTGTAACCAGCGGGGTCTACTAAGTTAAGTGTGAGGGTAGATACTCACGATGTCACTGGCTGGCGGGGATGCTATGTGTCATGAAATGCCGGAAGTAAGAATTAACGGGCCATTGGATTCTATGCCATCGAATGAATGATCAAGGAGCTCCACTAGTAAACTAAGGGTCCCGCGTTCGAATCCTGATGGGATTATGAGTGCTTATTCCCGAAGAGTCCCGAATCAAGACGAAACAGTCGATCACTACTGCATGGTTTTCAATGGTTCTTCAAGTGAAGTCATTTCGTGATCAAGCTTGAAACCTCAGAATATGCCCTGCTGTAAAACTAAATGACTGAACTACGAAAATATCAATCGAACAGGAAAGTGTCTAGTGAGAAATGATTTAGTGGCAGAATAGTAGTTCCCTAACAGTTTGTTTATTGGATGTATCACACAGTGAAACAGTATTATTTACTGGATGGCGTTTGGAAAAAAATTTATTGTTCATAATCATGTCAGTTGTAATCACACGACTTTGAAGCTTGAGTTTTATAGTTTTCTTTGTCTTCTCCTATTTGTCGTCATTGGGGTAGTAGAATTTTCCAGATATCCAACTGGACAGGTGTTGAATCATTCCTATTACATGTGTTCGCAGTTGATTCGATAAACAAAGCCTCTGTTATCAATCTCTTCCTCCACCCTGTGATATTGGACTGTAAAACTGTCATCCTTTCCCATCCAGCCTATTGTATGGTTGTGTGTAACTGCATGTAGTGCTATGTCTGAACTATTCTGTAGATTTCTTATCTTATTTGGGTCAACCAATCTAGATTTTGCTAGGTTTTTATGTTCAGCTAGTCTGACTGCCCTTATTCTATTAGTTTGACTTATGTATTTTACCAGATAATCATTGCAGGCAGGCTATTAGATAAACTAAATTGTTTTGTTTTAAAGGCTCTACAGGATGATCCTTTAACCGACAAAGCTTGTTTCTAATTGAGTTTGTGCGGGGGGTTTGAATGCCAGCCACTTTTATTCCTGCCTTTTTAAGAATTCTACGTAGGGTTTCCAAGGTTCCTTCCTTGTATGGAATTAATACTGATGATTTAGATTCCTTAATTTGGTGTTGTCTTGCGCATATTTGACATGCACGTCGTCATTAATATTATTATTATCACTACTAACATTATTTATTTTATTTTTACATTTCCCTACATATTTCTTGACTAATTTATCAGGGTAATTATTAAGTTTCAAGACTTCTCTTATATGTGTCACTTCCTGTCTTAGATTTTCCTTGGTAGTTGGCAGAATAGTAGTTGTTTAGTAATAGTTATTAGACAGCTGTTCAGCTGGCAGTGATATCTAAAGAGATGCCCTTAGAATATCCCTTTCAATTTATTGTTAATATAACTAGTACAGATTATATCTGTCTAAACAGAAGTTCAGATTAAGCTTCTTCAGTGTTCTTAATTATTAGGTATGTACCTTTTAAATAAGTTTCCCAACTACTCTCTTCAGAAAGCAGATATACTAAACATTCATAATTCGTTACTCCAGATATTTCTTCATAAAAAAAATACGCTGAATTCTTTCACTTCTGTCATCTTGAGTTTCAGTAGTATTTTTGACGACACTGGTTAGTTAGAAGTGTCCTCGGTTTTTATGTTTATTTCTTAATTATGTTAAATACAAGACTGAATGCTAGGTTATCCAAACACATTAGAATAAGTGTGCCTAGATGTCTGTCCACTCATGATCCAATCTATTTGACTAAATCGGAAATATGTATTATACCGTCAGTCAATAACAATATCACTAAGTTTTTCGTCACATGTAAAGCTGTTCGTCTGAACTTACAACACATTTATTTTACAGTGAACAGTTGGTTAGGTACGGGTTATTTGGTTACTGAAACCTTTATTTGGTTCAACCATTTGATGAAGTCTTAAAGTGATGAATCTAAGACATTTGTTAGTTTTCTAACGCCATTAGTTTAATATTATTCGGAAGTGCTAATTGACTAATTATCGAAATTCTATTGTGCAACTCCGTGTTACAACAAACATTGCAAATTCACAGCTTTTTCTAAGTTAATCATCTTCTCTTTTGTCTAAATTCTTATTTTGCATTAGTTTACGTGACTGCTATTTACAGCAGACAGTTCATCAAAGATAAGGCTTATTACGGGTGTTAGAATACGTTCAGTTCAAAAAAGTAGAATAAATTACATAGATAAGGTGTGTTTGGGTGAAATAGTACAGCCTGGTTTTACTCAAAAGATGAAATAACACTCCAAATTTTGATTTTATAATCATTCAGCTGTTCATTTAGTAAGTTAGTAGATTGTGGAGAATTTATTAGAAACTTTTTCAATAACAAAATAAAGCTTGTAATTCAAAGAATTCTACTAAAGTAACTGTGAACTCTATCATCTTTGAAAATAACCATCTTACTAAATCAAAAGAATATGTTAAATATGTTTTTAATTGTTTTATTTGACCTAAATATGTGTTAAGCAGTAGTATAATCAAGATATGTAAATGTTTCCTAGGTGACGGGAAGTCTTTTTCCTGAGCTTTGAAATAGGTATATAAATTTAGTATACCATACTTCCAGTGGTTTATTTGCACATCATTTACAAATTGGTCGAATACCACCACATTCGCTAGCTTGTTGCATTCTGCACAGTGTTTATAACGTGCTTCTCACAGTTCTGTTCTTCAGTTGCTTTTTTCAGTGTCCGAATCATATTGTTGCTTTTCTGAATTCGTTTACTGATATACTATTTATATCTCGTTATAAGTAGCACTCAACACAGAGGTGTTTCTGAGTTCTTGCCGTAAAAGCAAAGGGTTTTATTCTCCGTGGGTCAAAATGAGCGTCAAAAAGGGATAACACGTTTCATCTGAAGCTATAGTAACTGGCTAATTTGATCAAAACAAATTGGAAGATAAAAACAATTAGAGGGACAAGTATGCAGTATCCAATTGGGAAAGTGGCTTCCAAATAAAATCTCCAGAAAATCATTCATAAAATTGCGTGTAATAATACAGAGACCAATATTTCACTTGCGTTGTCTTATGTTTTTTTTTTCTGCAGTTTAGATGTGAATCTACTTCTATGAAGTTATATTTCCACACTTAAATAACTAATGTATTCTTGGAAGAGTTTATTTGTTATCATAAAATTTATTATTCTCTTGGGTTCTGAGTGGAACATAGGGCTTCAACAGCACTAGAAGTACTCACAGCTCCAAAATATTTTATTTGAAGAAACCTTAGATTTTTATAATGGCACACTGCTTGTTTCTCTTAACATATTGAGGTTATATTGTGTTGAGAACTGTCTGCTAACCAAATAGGTAGACAGAATTATACGTCAACGTTTACGTCGCAAGTCTTGATCGTCAGAAAAGAACAAAAACAAAGACTAACTTAACAACCAATCACAGCAGATTTTGCGAGGGCGGATACGATTTTCAGATATATGCTGTGACCTTCAAAGAAACGGTCACAAACAGATGACAGAATAACTTCCAGCGTAAAAATAACCAATCAGGAGACACTGTTCCTCTGGCAATAATAACGAGTAATAATGTACATAAAAAAGCATAAATATCTCTTGATTTCCTCAATAAACGATTTATTGCCTGGCTCTTGTTCTCTGTCGTTACAACATGAAAAATCTGTTAATGACTGCATTATATCCCTACGGAATAACAGTACCATTACTGACAACTGATTATTTTCAATAAATTAGCCGTATGAAATATTTGAAATCAAAGTTGTATTTATTAGGGATATTTCTGAAAGTGATATTTGAGACTAGAATGAAAGTACAATGAAACAGTGTCAAATATCCTTCTTGGTACTAATCCCGAAAGTGATTATGCTATAGGATAGAAAGTGGCTAAAACCAGCTAAAACGACACTATCCCACTTAACATTTAGTGTATTTGATTGTTCTGTACTTTTAGCTGCACATAAATGGAAAACAGCCAATTCTGAAGAAGTACGGAATCTAGCTCGTGATGGCATCGCATATCTGGATGAAAGATACAAATTCTGGCATCAAGAGAAACCTGTTTATGCTCGAACTAAGGCTAGACGAATAAAACAGCTAGCGAACTCTCAATTTTCAAAAAGATCGAAATTTCCAGGAGTTAAGAGTGTTCTAGACAAATTGCACAAAATCGACAAATGTAAGTTAAATTATTCTGTGTTCTCAAATGTCTTTGTTAAAACTATGATTATTCCTCTATGGAATCACTTGTTTACTCATCACTTCCATCGATTATGTTGATTAGAACTGGTAAACGACGAGTGAGTTAGTTAAATTTTATATAGCATTTAAATGTTGAAAAGAATTACTGTGTCGTTAGATTTCACTGCACTTCTTACTCTATATTTAATATTCTATTCCTATAACGTTATGTTAGACAACAACATAAAAATCGAATTATTACAGTTTCTCTTCTGAAAAATAACTTCTCATTCAACAGTTGGTTTAATTTGTTATTCTGATTAGCCATGTTTCATTTTGGTGTCTTTTTTCAATGAACACCTTCCTAGTTATGTAAAAGTATATGGTTTCGTCGAACAATGAGTAGCGCAAACTTCGCAACGCTATTTTATTGCCCTATTGATGTGAACACTTTGTAAAGCTTTTTTGTACTCTTCAGTTATATACAATTAGAAGATATCCTGGTTACTAAATTGGATGTATATGTTGTGAAGTTACATCGATTTAGATGGCTCGGACATGTGTTACGCATGCCTAGCCATCGCGTTCTTTGACGAGCACTGTCAACTGACATACGATCAAGCTGGAAAATAGCTAGCGGAGGTCAAACCAAAACTTGGAACCAGTCATTAAAATCTCTGATGGTCAGTTTGAGCCACATAAGAAATCATATATATAACCTGACTGGGGTCCTCGGGATCCTAAGGACCAATGGCTGGAGACAATTAGTGATATGGCTCAAATCGTTCGCAATGTTTGTGAACCCCGAAATCATAAAACCATAATGTTTTCCAGGTTACTGTTCTTTCTACCTCACATTCTACTAATAATCTTTCTTACATCCAAGACTGCATATTCAGAAGGTATGGGGTGATGTAATCTCAAATATGATCTCAAACTGTGCACACCATTGATTAAGAGAAAACTTTGATTAGTTGGAGGATTTCATCATGAGCTGATATCGGCTAGAGAACCATCAGAAAACTAGGGAGTACTGCACAGCTGTTTCGTCCTAGTTTGGGACCTTCAGCAGTACGCACCAACGGACAGGTTTCGAACCCAGGATCTTGTGGTTACAAGGTGAGCTCGTAGACCATTAAGCCACAGGGACCCGATCCAATGGCCTATGAATTCTAACTTCTGCCAATTCATGAAACAGCGCGATCACTTAGCAATGTCCCTAAAAACCAATACTTGAAAAATGATCTGATGCTTTTTGGCAACTGGCCCTATTCAGACAGTTACCTGGAGTTCTAGTGGAAGCCGTGACCAGTAGCGTATAGTAAGTTGAAGGTGAAGACGGTTACTCATCGAAGAAGACATTGCGAAGTAGTAACGCTATGTTGTGAGTTGGCAGAAGCTAGAATTCATGGGCTGACCATTAGGTCGCGTCCAGTTGGTTAATGGTCGGCCAGCTCGCCTTGTAACCAGAAGGTCCCGGGTTGGAATCCTGGCAGTGGGTGCGTACTCTTGAAGGGTCCCAAACTGGGACGAAACAGTTGTTCAGTACTCCCTGCAGGTTTTCCAATGGTTCTCTAACCAATGTCAGCTCATGGTGAAATCCTGTAACCAATCAACCGAATCCCTACAAACCAATACTTGAGGAAACTTTGAGTTTGTTAATAAAATATAATTTGGTCTCAGATGGTTTGAATATAGTCTTTACCCTGAGGAATTCGAAGTTTATTTCATATTTTTCCGCTTTCTTGGAACATTCGTACTGCTGAATAAATGTCCTGAATACATGAGAAAGAACTATGCATTAGGAAGAAATCTAAAAGATATCAAATCTGTGAAAAGGGTGTTTCTCATTTTTCTTTCTCAACTGTAATTATTTCTGAAAATCTTTTGACATGTCTCCGTCAAAATGAAATCCATAAAGGGTAAAGCCAAGGATTAACCTTTAAAGTGTCCCAATTTTGCGATGATTACTAAAGTTCTGTATCACTTGCGTGATTATGACGACTACGTGAGTTTCAAAATCTGTCCACTTACGATACAATTTTTGCATAATTTCTCATCTATCTTCGTTACGTCACTAGTGACATGATGCAATTTTTGTTCATTTGAAAACCATTAATAATAGGAAACCCTAGTCACACTCACATTCAGGTTACACAGAGATATTATTACCAAGCAGCAGCCAATGAATCATCGAGGAAGCGCTTAAACACTCATTCAATATTTTGTGTTATAATTTGAACTACTAATTAGTAGTATACCGTAAACGTTTGAAAATATTTCACATCTGCAATGTAGTTGTACATTTCTAGGTGTTAAGGTGCCATGAAGGAGCAGTAAGATGTACCGTTTCATATGTATTTCCGAAATGTGACAGCTATCTAAAAATGTTTCTGAAACATTTACAAATTAGTTTTGGAATTCGGGATATTGGAGGTTGAAAAATTCTGTGAAGTCCGTTTTACTACAAAAAACAACAACTCAAAACGTGTTAATTAATTGTTCTAATTTTCTTTTATATGCGGATTTTTACGTAAAAATAGTGACTGGATACACAGGTTTAACATATTTCAGGATTATGTTAATTAGGAGCAGCAGAAATTGTAAGCTGCAAGCAGACTTTAATTGACTGACTACACCATCAAGGTAGGTGGATGCTTTTAATCTCTACAGTGCTATACAATCATTATTTATTCAGAAAGTCTTGAAAGAAAACATCGACGTAAGAATATATTCAAGCATGAAGAGGCCTACTGTTCTGAATAACTTTATGGAATGATTTACAACAACAGAAATAAATGAAAAGTAAATATTCAAGTATTGGTTTTGTAAGGATTTTGTTTGATTGCATAGAGGATTTCACCATGAGCTGAGGTCAGTTAGCGAACCACTGGAAAACCTGGGAGTACTGCACAGCTGTTTCGTCCTAGTTTGAGACCCTTCAGCAGTACTCATCCACCGGGTTTCGAACCGTGGATCTACGGGTCCCAGTTGGTTAATGATCTACGAGCTCACCTCGTAACTAGAAGGTCCTTGGTTCGAACCCTGGTCGGTGCGTACTGCTGAAGAGTCTAAAACTATGTTGAAACAGCTGTCCTGTACTGTCAGGTTTTCCAGTGGTTGTTTAACTGATATCAGCTCATGATGAAAAGTAAATAATTTCAGGATTATAAATATACTAGTTTGTTAAATTGGTGAGGTACGTATGAGTTTGTTGAAGAAGCGTTAATCTGCATACAATGCTGTGATGAATGTAAACTAGTTGGTTCAATGCCTCCAGATAATTTGGGTTAACAGCCTTCATTTATCTGAAGTACTTTTGTAAATAGTCAGGAACATCATAGATTGTTGGTGTACTTCAAATCTAATGACGCTTGAATGAACACCACCGATATTACAATTCATTAACAAGTCTAATGGCATGTTTACTTCTGCATGTTGTCTACAAATGATGACATTATTAATACTGGAACTCTATTTTGTCTTCAGAATGTCTTCCCAAAGTTTTCTACCCCGTTTGAAGTATGAAGTGTGACGACCTGAATTAATACAAGATGAACCTTTGTTCTTCAGTTTTATAACATAGTATATCTGTTCACCTTGAAACGTTTGAATAAAGCTAAGTATTCATCAGTTAGAGATTTTTCACATTTCAAGAATAAACGAATAACAATAATAATAGAACTTCTTTGACCTCTTTGTATATTTCGTGTTTTAAAACCACTTTCTCAAATCATAGCGTATAGAATGTCATATATTTATGTTCACACTATTTAATTATTCGTCAAGCAATGAATCTGCTAAACTGCTGCCTAAATTACTTAGTTTTGTCACTGAACAGTAACTGGTGTGAGAATATTTAGCCCTCCCTATAATGAACTAATTCCACCAGTCACCAAGCTAAAACACTTAGTGTTACAGTACGCTTTGAATTAAAGTTGGTTGTTTGGAGATAACCAACGAGATGCTGTGAGTTAAACACCTTTTAGCAGATAGTTTCTTCATAAAAAATTTCATTCATGTAACACAAAACGAATTTTATGCCATATTAAATCTCATTTCTGATTATAACTTATTTTAATCTTTAGTACAACGCAAACATGAACATTCCTTAGCAGTGAAACACGCTCATCATCTATTATATGAAGTTAAAGCCTATGATGAAACACATATTCCAAATTATCATGAAATTTTAGCCAATATTAATTCACTACTTGGATTATCCAACTTAGAATTAGGAAATTATTCAGAAGCATTAAAAGCCTATCAGGCGGCTTATGATCTTGGTGAGAAAATCAATTTACCAGAGATCATTTCAAATTCAATGGATAATATGGGACGTGTTTATGCAAAATCAGGTGATTACGATTCAGCTGTAAAAGTGTAAGTGAATCCAACCCTTTTGAAAATTTAATAGTTAGAGGAACATTTATTTGAATTCACTTTTGAGACTTTTACATTTCATATCCATATTTACTTTGGTTAATTTCATAGATACTTTGACTGAAACTGATATACATGGAGGATTTCACCATGAGCTGATATCGGTTAGAGAACCACTGGAAAACCTGGAGGTAGTGGACACCTGTTTCGGCCTAGTTTAAGCCTCTTTAGCGGTACGCACTCAATGGGTTTGAATCCAGGACCTTCTGGTTACAAGGCGAGCTTGTAGGCAATTGAGCCACTGAGACCTGATCCAATCGTCCGTGAATTCTAACCTCTGCCAGTTCACGACATAGCGCGACCATTTCTCAATGTCTTCTTTGAAGAGTCTCAAACTAGGACGAAACAGCTTTCCAGTACTCCTAGGTTTTCCAGTCGTTCTCTAACTGATGTCAGCTCATGGTGAAATCCTCCATGCCATCAAACAAAATCCCTACAAAACCAATACTTGAAACTAGTATCTCTTCCATTTAGAAAGTTTTTAGTCCTGGAATCGTAACTGAACTGAGATAAGTTTCAAGTAAACAAGACTAGTGATGATATTTTAGCAGAACAAATACTAAGTACATTTAGAAAAAACTGGTATTGCTATTTGAAATTACTTAATCATATCTTACTTGTATGTGTCCTATTCGATTTTCTCAGTGTTAACACTTTGGCTAAGTGCTTTTCATTCATTGCTTTGACCACTAGAAGCACAACTAATGTACTACTTATTACCTATCTGTAAATAGACCACCGCAAAACCGCTAAAGATATTTATTTGTGTGTACTATTTTCTCTGAGAAGTTTCTAAATATTACTGTGGATCAATAAAAGTCTCACGAAATAGCTATAAATCGGCCCAGAGGCATTTGGCATACATTTAATTTTTAAATGCACAGCTACCTAAATAAAGACTGGTAAACAGAAAATTTACCGGAATTCTTTCTTTTACTCGAATCACATTTTTGGTTAATATTTGGGTACACATTAAGCGAGATGAAAAGAAGGATTTCTACAAAATTACTCATCAGATTATATCATTTTGTTGACCAGTTATCGTGACAAACTTTCAGTCAATTCGACAAGAGTTACAGTCAACAAATTAATAAAATGTGCCAGTTTTTCGCCGTTAAGATGAATTTAAACATACATGGGAATATTCGTCGAAGATACTAAGGAATTTCGTAAACAGATGGAATTATTCTCATTGTAATTGTCAGCCAACTTTCATAAACTGTCAATGTCCAGCTATACTAGGCTGAATCTGACGCTGTCCCTGGAAGACTTTCAGAAACACTTTGTATTTACCAACGCCAAAACCAGAACACTGATTTATTCTTACGCCAACATGTAACCAACAATAAGGTCTAAGAATAAATGTTATAACAATAAATCACGGTAATAATTCTGATAGTTTTTATCTTCCTCTGAACAGCGAACGGTGAGACGATGACTGCCGGATTGATTGCACCCGCGAAAAATACGGAGGAGTTGGGTTTGAGCAAACAACCATGAATCGATCGTTCAATCTTCAACTACATTGACAGTAATAAAATAATGTACTTCAAATGGCCAAATGCTTTAAGCCTTTCCGTCATGATATTATCATAACCATAAGCAGTACCAACGGAAGAAGGTATAGTAGTAATTAAACCTCCAAGGATAACAAACTGCAACCAAGATTAACTAAGAACACACTTATCAAATTAAATAAGTATATTGAAGCAGGCAAATTCACTGAATAAACATGGAGTATGAAGATACTACTTTTTTTAAATTTCAAAAATGAAATATAATTCTTCGACCTCCATCTTTTTTTTAGATGGGAAGAGAAACTTGAGAAGTGTACCGATGATTTGGATAAAGTATGGCTCTGTTATGAATTAGGTCGATGTTATTTAGAATTACAAAAACCACAAAAATCTTTTGAATATGGTGAGAAAGCAATGCATATAGCAAATGCTATGGAGGATAAACCATGGCAGTTAAATATCAATGTTTTGATTGGGCAATCAAATTTACAATTAAAAAAGCGTAATGAAGCTCAAGATGCTTTTAACAAAGCCTATGATCTAGCTAAAGTAAGTATACATGGAAATAGTACAGTAATTACACATTCACTATAGTGAAAAAGAAACACATCCGGAGTGGGTGTTTATAATGCAAAGTTACTATACCGAACATCAAAATGACAGAGGAAGATTTATTAAATGAAATTAAGAATAATAAAATAAACTCATTTATAGAAACTGCATAGTTGCAGTGTATAGTTAGTGACTTTGAGACTAATATTAAATGTTCGTTTTTCAACGCTAGTTCCTTCCATTCTTTGTCTAACATGGTCAGCATATGAACAAAGCAAGAACTACAGTTTAAGCAGAATAAATTGGTACCATCTTTTATTTCGTCGCCTTCTCGTCAGCTGCTTACAGGCGAAAGACATTATTAAATACGTCTACAAAAACAATTTTAGCATACTTGCATACTCGTTCCCGCCTATCGAACAACTTGCTCTTTGGTGCAATCAAAAATCGATAGATATCCTTTTCATGTTTACTCCAACTGTATATACAAATTAACATGTATCTGCGGGAGCAGTTACATTGGAAGGAAAGAAAGAAGGGCATATCTACGATTTTCTAAACATGGACCAAAGAGCTTATGTCTAAAGGGAATAAATGCTTTAAACAGTGCCATTGCCAGGCATCTCCTTGACACGGGTCATGAGATGGACGTCGAAAAGTCGTACAGAATTATCAGTAGGTAAAAGAGCTAAATTCTCCTCAAGTTTCCTGAAGCCTTCTCCATCGAGAGGGCTTGTGATTTGTGCGTCCAGAAAGAAACAGTTATCAGACTTTCTCTTTCATCTGAATGCGTAATGTTGAAAAGTTTCCATTGTGTATGATTATAATTGTTCGGAATAGTGTTTAATATTACATACATATGTATACTTCATATGAACTGTGATCAAGATTTGACCGGATAGTTGAAAAATAATTGAGTGTTGAGTGAGAAGTAGACATTTATAAAGTTATATTTGTAAAATCTCAGCGAAATTAAAATGATTAATTCCAACGTTTCGTTCGGCAATCTGGTCCGAACTTCTTCAGGGAAATTAATCGAAATTAACATAACAATGGTTTATATATAAAGAAACACCTCTTGTTTTTTAAATTTCGTCCAATCATGTGTCATGCAACATGTATCAACATGTATAATAAATAAATAAATAGAATTGAAAGTCTGAGGTCAAAAATCTTTTGATCATAATTCATACAATTTTTGTTTTGTTTTGTTTAGTATACCCATTGATAGCTGTTTCTTGATTCATATTTAAAAATAAAAGATGTATTTTTATATGTAAACATACAATTCTATTTATTTATTTATCATACATGTTGATACCTGTTGCATGACTCATGATTGGACAACATTAAAAAAACAAGAGGTGTTTCTTTATATATAAACCATTGTTATGTTAATTTCGATTAATTTCCTGAAGAAGTTCGGACCAGATTGCCGAACGAAACGTTGGAATTAATCATTTTAATTTCGCTGAGATTTTACAAATATAACTTTATAAATATATATGTATACATTATTACTGTATGCATATATTGATCGATGGATTTTTGTTTAAAATGAACTCTGTGCAAGTATGTTAAAATTGTTTTTGTAGATATATTTAATAACGTCTTCGGCCTGTAAGCAGCTGGCGAGAAGGCAACGAAATAAAAGATGGTACCACTTTATTCTGCTAAAACTGTAGTTTTTGCTTTGTTTAAATTCATTCAGGGGAATAAATGTATAAAATGGTCAGTATAATAAGGTGGTATTTACATATAAGTAAAACATGCCTTATTAACCCTTGAATTATGCACTACACTTCACACAATACTGAGAATGTGAAGATAAACCGACATAAACCGCTTGTATCAGATTTCCTGTATCTGACTAAACTATTACTCAACTTAGTTTTTAGGAATGCCTACTGTTTTGGTAGCACAGTAAAACTGTTTAGGAAGGTGAAATAATGTAATGCTTTAGTCATTCGAAGTGAGAACAAATTCATTTAGGTTCCAAAAGTCAAAGAAACTTCCGTGTCAGCAAGCTTATTGAGATGATAACTAGATTTATTTTAAAGCTACGAGTACCGTTTTGTAGTTAACAATGAACAGAATTAGGTTTCAACAAACTCATGTCTTGTCTAAACGTCATCGGAAGTATTCATTCATAAATATGTCAGCTTACCTAATTAGTTACAAATCACATTTTACTATTTTAGGCATTTGAAAGAATAGACCTTATAATATGGTATAGGTGTATCTACAGTTTTCTTTATTCTGCTATAAATAGGCTAAAATATGCACTTACTAATTATTTTTTTATAATATTTATAGTTTGATCGAAAGATCATGTTTTAGAGTTTTTTTTTACTTCTTATCTCATGACAATTAGGAACTTAAAGCTCGTGATGCTGAAAAGGCTATCTTAGAGGTTATCGATGAACTACAAAGCACTGGTAGAGAGATTGATACAGATGCATTCACTGATACTGAAGAGAATGTGGGCTCAGAAGGTGAGGCTTACTTCCCTGCATTTTGTCTTCTGTCTTTGATTTAAAGTACTCTATTTTCCTGTTAGGTAATTGTTGGTGGGAGGAATATTCTGTTTTCAGAATTCATTTGAGACTCGACTGTTACAAAAAAAACTGAACGTTTTTTCTTAGTCGTCACTAGAATGTGTAGATAAAGAATGTTTAGCGAAAATGATCTCAGTGCATGACCGGTATCTTGATTTTAGTGGTAGCTGTTTACAGAATTAACCAATTTAAAAAAAATAAAGTGTTTCTGCCATTATTTCTAAGTAATTGATATGAATGTGCATATGCATATATTGAAATATTGGTTAGTCAATAAATTTACAGAGTGATGTATCCGGAATTACAGCTGAATTCCTTCCGAACCAACCATGAATGTGAATATCTAAATACTGTAAAATATTTATTGTGAAATCGAATGCTTACTCATGAGTAGGTTAACTAGTATTACGAAAATAGAGACACAAAGTCAATGCCACACTTTGTAACTTCCCTCCAAGATAATGTTGATTCGAAATAAACAGGACGAATAAGCATAACTTGAATCTATCGTATCGCCTAGTTTGGATTTCGTTATATTTATGGTCAGGTGAGGAAAAGAAAACAATAAGTTACACAACAGTTATATTATTTCATGTAATTCAGGAAGTTCATAATCCATTGACCAGTTTCAATGAAAGACTTCATCTGCACATGAATTTACCGATCAACAATGCATCCAAAGGTATCTTCGCAACTTCGAAAACTTCATATTATATTCCTAATTTTTTTTTACTGGTTGTAGGTGTAGTGGATTATTTTAGGTATTTCGAATAAAGGTCACATAGTTTCCATCGAATTTATACCATTAGGATTGTGAAAATACACGCTTTGATCCTTGCTTTTAATCGGGAAAGCCTACACGACTTTTGTTTTGTTCCATCTTATTATATGATTCTGTGTGACTGCATGTAATGGTGGAGCTGAGTCTTCTTTTACATTACTCATTTTACGAGGGACTGTTACCATAGATGTAGTTAAAAACTTCTTGCTTGAGTTACTTAACTAACTCCTGTGCAGTAGTGCAATCTGTGTCTCTGACCCCATAATCATTGCTTGGAATTCGTTGAACTGTATTATGTGTTTAATAGGCTTTACAGAATTCCTTGCCTCAGGGTATCCCAAGTTGGAAACCTGTCTTAGTTTGCTAAAAATTTAGTTAGCAGTGTTAAGTTGTCTTCTCTATTTTTCGACAGCATGAAAATACTTAATTCTCACTTCCTGACAGCGATATTTAAGTATTTAAAAAAGTGTCTACCACAACCCTTCTTACCTTAATTTCCTTAGTTTTCAGGAGTTTCTGATCAACTTTGTGTGAGAATTGAAAAAGAAGGTCATTCTAATACGTTTTATGTTTTATATTCTGTTTTCTGGCTTACTAGTCAACTTTTGCTGTCCTGTTAAGCAGAAAATTTACCAAATATTTTTCTATTAGCTCGAAATAGAAGGACATATAGTTTAGGAATCTTATTCCATAGACACTAATGTCTAAGACACCGTCTTCTTAATGTTATGCTCTGCAAACCCGCATAGCTAATTCTACTTTGATTGGACACTGGTAACTAGTGTGATGTGTCTAGTCCTTTCTTTGGTGCAGACTGAATTCTATCAGCCAGGTTTGAAATGTGGCCACCATGTCACTAGGTGGCTCACTCCCACGGTACACATTGATTCGATGATATTAGATGGTTGGAAGCAATCGGCCACGGAAGCCTTGGACCTAGGTTCAGTGCTAGTTGATACTTGTCAGCAAGGCATATCTGCAACCTTGAAGGAACTCATGCCCTTTCTGAGATTCGAACCCGCGTCACCCAGTGCTCCAACAACAACAACAACAACGAAAAGCAGTACTTCTTTCAGCCTAACAGAAGTCCGCCTGTAAAAGAGTCTTAGATCTCCTTTGTTCATCGGTGAAATCGGAGGCTTCATCATTAAGCTGTTTATTCATAGGAATATATCAATCTCTTGCTTGAAGTTTGTCTTTATCTCCTGAAATCATCTGTGTGCGAAATGTCATACCACATATTTGATTGAATACATTTCATTACTGATTGAGTTTTTTTCTCAACAGACCCTTGTAGTGATTATCACACAGTTACCATCTTACATACACAAAATGACTTCCCCTTAAAAGTGTTAAACATATCTGATGATATGCCTTTTGCAGAAAACAAATACCTCCTTCTCTAATTTGTTTTCCAGTCAAAACTTCCTAATTGTACTAAATCGTGTTCTTACTATTCATGGCTTTTAACTAAAAGGAATAGAAACTGCTATACCTCTAAGATTTCTTCACATGAATGTTTATCTCAGTTTTTAATATCATTTCTGTGTTGTATACTTTTCTCTTCTTCAATTTACATTTCTTAAGTCTTCATTTGTCTAAACCGCTCAGTTTAAAAGTCTAATACTATAAAAGGTTTTGCGGCTCTTGACTGTGATTTGAAATATTTCACCTTGCATATCTCTGCAACTTAACGACTCACTGTGATTACCGAATTCTCTGCCACCATCAATCTCCCCAAAACACACTTGACATGAGTTATATAGAGAAGATTTGTAGGTGAGGTGGCCCAGCGATTAGGACGCTCGCCAACCATTCACATGGTCCGGGGTTCGATCCCCGGCTGACGCACTCAAAATAAGAGGAGAACAAATAAACACTGCTACAGAAACTTCAAGCCACTAGCTTGAAGCCCTGTGTTCCACTGGGGAACGTGAAGGAGTTATATGTGCGTATCAATTTATCTATCCTTGCGAATTTCAAACTTTTGATAGCTATTGAGAAGCTAAGAGATAATAAATGATGTCATTTTGTACTTTACTACTCACAATTTTGTCTCATTTAAAATTTATCTACGATCTGTAATGCATAAACGCAATGTTTTTTCTGTTTTATTTAAAAAAAGAATTAACAACTCCACGAAGTAAACCGCCGTCAACAGACCATCAGAAAATACAGTCCACTGAACCACAAGAAGGGATTAATTAATCTAAGAAGGGAAAAAGTGTCCATCTAATGAAATGGCTATTTCTCTCCAGAAAACAATCATGTCAATGAACTCACAAAAAGTTTCCTCTCTTATTCTCATATAAATATATTATATTGCCTTCTTTCTATTTATGACAGATTATGAATTATGATTGAGTAAAAAATTTCAAATAAAACTTGTAGTTTTGTGAATATTATGCTCATTTTAAATTTATTGCTCTTCTTCTGTGGGTTTTGAAATGGTCAGATACACACTATGTTTTTAGGGGAAGGAGATAAGTAAGAGAATTAATATCATCAAGCAGGAACATATTCATTGTTTTGTGCTATAGCCTGTGGCCCATCCTATCAACTCTGTGTATCTGCTCAAAAAAGAGAATAAATTAGTTGCACAGTAGCAATGCTATTGTCTTCATAATTTATCAAGATACAATTTATTCATGTGTATAGAGAGTGTTTTAGACCAAAGAATTTCATGTATTTAGATAGCAGAGTGTATTCAGTTATTATTATTATTGTTCCCTTGGGTTCCTAGTGGAACATAGGGATTCAACTGCACGTCTCCACTTGCTTCTGTCTCCTTCTGCTGTACTTTTCACCTGCATCCATGTTAGTCCATACTCTTCCAACTCCTCTTCACACGATCTCCTCCATGTCACCCTTGCACTGACGTCCCACTCGCCGCTTCCCCTTCGGTCTGGTTCCAATCGAGCGATGGCCAGACGCGCGCGCAATGTCACCCAGTGGCCTCCTCAACGAGTGTCCAATCCATCTCCACTTTCTCTTGCATATTTGTTAGTTGGCGATTGGTTCTTGTTTTGTTTGTTTCTTCCCAGCCATAGTTTCTTGTTGGTGATTCTTTCCGGCCCGGCCATCTCATCTTCAGTATAGAGCCAGCGAAGACAGTTGTTGATAAACGTAACGTCTGCAACAGGCTGTTGGAAATATTCTTTGTGACCCGCCCGCCAAGTTTCTGATCCGTATAGAAGAACTGACTGACTTGACGTTTTTGTATTGAAAATCCGACCGAATTTTGTTGTTCACGCTGGCTGAGTGACGAAGATTTCCAGATTGGTTTCAGGTTGATGATGTGAATGTGTTTCTCGCCTGCCTTCCCGATTCTCGCTCGATTTGACATCCTCGTCCGTTCCGACTTCCTGTAGTTGAGACAATGCTCCGCTAGATAAGTGAATGAAGTAACCTCTTTCAAATCCGTCCCGTTGATGGTGATTGGCGCTGGATGTTGCTGCTGTTGCTGTTGTTGGTTGGTTGGTTATTTTCATCACCTCCGTCTTGTCTATGTTCACCTGGAGTCCTGTCTTCGCTGACTGCTTTTTCGACCAGTTTGTCGGTTTTCGCTTGTATTCATTGGAGTATATTAATCTATGATCCTAAAATTGTTTTCATATGAATTTATAGAAATCACTTCAGCTTCCATAGTAGGATGATTTTTCAATGCATATTGAATGCAGTTTATTTCTCATTATTATTATATCATCTCGAATTATCCTCCACCACAATACTCGGAATTCTATTCTGATATATCACTATTCATACGTATATTTTTGGGCTTTTGGCTAAATTTAATTTTGAAACTGAACGCAATGACTTTGCTTGGTTTGTGCTAAATGTCACTTGAATGGTAGGCGTTTGCTATATCTCACTTGGGACTCGTCATCTGGACGCATCTGCATGTCTAATAGGTGATGATCAATTCAAAAGTAGTAATTTCATCAGATAAATGCGATTACTATTCAGTAACTTAGGCGTATAGTGTCTAAAAATGAGTTAAAATACCCAGTGACAATCATTCTTGTACACTCAGGCTGCATTTAATTCTTTTGATTGCATTGACATTCTTGAGTACAGTAAGGGGATTAGTGCTGTACTGTTTCCCAGTTATTACTGGATGCTCTAAAGATAAAGAGGAAGAGTTTCATGTACACTGAGTTTTCCTGGTTGGAACTTGGCTTCCAGTGGAAGAAGCAAGTAGATACCGTCCTTTTCTTCTTGTGCGTAATTAACGAACTACAGTCCTTAAGGTAACACGTAATCCAATCATCTCATTTGATCAGGATTTACCAACTTGTCGGCTGAATCACTTTATTTGCCCAAGCATACATGTTGATCATTTAGGATATTCGTGTAGTGATCCTACTGAATGTAGACAGTGTTATGTGGACAAAAGTGGTCAACTATCTCGAGACCCCTAATAAATTTTGATTTTTGATAGTTCTTTTGAAGATCTGTATGAGACAATGTGCACCGATTAATTGTACCTATAGCGCTGAACATACAGTGAAACAACTCACTTGTTCTATAGTCATCATAAATCATCTGAATTAAAACAAGCAGTTCCTATTCACACCAAGATTCTGTTAATCAGTGACTCATATTAGCACATCTAAGTTCATTCAGCTCACTTATTAGGCTTAAAGTAACTACCTGCCCCTAAAGGTTCAGTAAGCATTTATATTTTACGTATAAAAGCTGTTTTATCCCATGAATGTCAATCCATGTAAGTTCAAACAAGAGTAATAGTTCACTGAGTAGTTCAGTGATAAAGGTATGCAGGAAAATCAGATATGATACCAAATGAAACTTCATAGCGCAACTAAAATTAAGATCTCGTAAAACCTACTTATTAATCAATCCAGTTTTTGGGAAAATTTTATCACAAAATCTAATATTCAACAGAGTTGAATCTTATTGTTATTTCCAAAGAGGTACATAGGATAAAATGCTTTCATATTTGCCTGTTTTTGTGTATTGTTCACAGACTATAAATGTTTGATTTGCAAGTACATGCCCAGACCGGAAATTTGCTTCTCCTCCCTTATTATCTCATAAGTATTTTGCTTCATATTTAAATGGTGTTGCAAGTAGGAATGATGATCAGTCAAAAGGGATAACTATGGACAACTATCCTGAATTGAATTAGTGTGTTTTTTAATTAACTGTTCTGAGCTATACTCTTCAGTTTACTACTAACCAACCCGAATAATTAAAGTCTACTATATGGTTTTTTAAATGATATCTTTTGTATATTTTATAACCTATTGTCATCACATCGTCACTCTTCCCTAAATAGCCTCAGATTTACATTAACAAAGGCTGTTTTCACAAATATCCATAGAGACAGTCAAAACCTGTCTCTACGTTATCATTCAGATTGTTGGGTCCATTGTAAAACAAAGGAATGATCATTTATTCTCTGATTTCTCATAGGCATTTAGCCCACAAAAGTCTGTGATAGAAAGAAATTTTCCTAGTATGAACTTATAAACAAGTGCTTACCTTCATTCCAAATAATAAATTTTCTCCATTCCCATACCTGTTTATATTAAAAGTAAACTGCTTGGTGCCACATGAGAATACACAAAATATATGCCGTATAGGTGTTGCCAACATGCTTAACAACATGAAATAGATAATTCGTAATGACTGAATAAGAGTAAAACAATTCACTTAAATTATTCATCAGTCTAAATTTTTTTATTTTTTTTATTTTTGATTTACAGCTTGATTCCACACTGTATTTTTGGTACAAGTGTGGAATTTTTAGCATGGATATCGGTAGCCCAAATTTTGCAGGCCGACCATAGATATCAGGTGTGCGTCGGCAGGGGATCGAACCTTGGACCATGTGCATAGTCGGCGAGAGTCCTAACCACTATTCCATCGACACACATGGTCAACTTATGCAGTTCATGATGATACTGATGAATAAATCAACAGAGAAGCTACACATTCTGTGAATGATTACTTTGCAATCAGCAAACAGTTGGAATGTGCATTCATATAACCATGACTTAGCTATGTACTACTGACTGGTTAACTTGAGTAGTCGGTTAACATGCACATCGACCAGTAGTGCTTGTTAACTAAACCGGTGATATAAGCACCTGACGGCCGTCTGCGAACTTGATCCAGCCATGATTCTACTCATCTACGGACACAATTTGATGTTCTGTGTTTTTAAATAACGCGAAGTGTTATTACTATTATTTAACTGTTCTTTTGGGGTGTTAGTTTACTGGACTTGATTTATTTCCGATTTGATCACTGGCTGACATCAGTTCGAGAAGTAATGAGAACCAAGGAGTGCAAAATACCCATTTCATCCTAGCTTTAGGACTCTTTAGTGGTATGAACATATGACCCTACAAGCGATCAAACCCAGGACATTCAGGTTAGGAGGCGAACATGCTCAACATTCAGCCACTGGGACGGAATCGGTAGTCTATGAATTCGAACTTCTATCAATTCATGATTGTACTCCAACAGCCAGCCCATCGCGTTAGTGAGTAATTTTCGTCATACTCAGCCTGAGGATGCCAATGATCACGACTTCTCATTCGAACTCCAGGCAACTTCGTTAAGTGTTCAGTCATCTGTTACCATTAGACTAATTTTCAAGTATTAGTTTATAGGGATTTGATTGGTTTCCTGTTTTATCACAGAGAATGTAAAATTTATTATCTAATGCTCTTAACTTATTAGCAGCTATCTCCGTTCTAGGAAAACAAATTATGTGAAAAAGTGAAAAAAGACACAGGGATAATAACATTGTCTAACCCTCGAGGTACGTGAGCTGTACTATCATAAGGATTGTCCTCATTCAGTAATTCATAAGTGAAAGACGAAAATTAACTTATAGCCGAAAACTACAACTTTTATTAGAAGAAAGTATTCTATGCACACACGTTTCACTTAGTATTAAATTGGTGGATGGTGACTAGCAGTGGAATCCAGGATGAGCATTTCGTCCTATTTGGGACTCGCCAACTGGATGTACTGTATTTCTCAGTGAGTGATGATGTTCCCACCGAGACTCGAACCCAGTACCCATAGTTTCAAACGCCAAAGCGTTATCCACTAGACCACTTGGATCACGAGAGCCACTTCTTGCGCAACGGCTCATATTAATTGTTGAATTGAATGTTTGATTTTCGCGTCGATTGATTGGACCCAAGTGCTCGGTCTCAGGTTGACATGTCGGTTCATTGTGCAGACGCTTCGATGATGTCTGGGCATGTAATAAGAAGTTAATTGGTAGATGTTAACTAGCAGTGGAATCCAGCATGTGCATTTCGTCCTATTTGGGACATGTCAACCTGACACTGAGCACTTCGGTCCAATCAATCAACGGGAAAATCTCAAATTCAGTT